AAGAGCGGTCTACAGAATGATAAAGAGTCAAAACAAGTTAGAGTGGCCTGGGGAGTGATGGGGAGAATAGGCCATGGAGACAGAAAGCATGAACAACTCTTCTGGGAAACTGGACTTGAAGGGAGCTCTCCAAAACGATATTTGAGGTCTTTTTTCCAAAGAGCCTCTTATCTGGTTTGTATCTTTTCTGGACTTCACTGGCTGGCAAACAAACCTCCTTCTGATACATACTATCTTTAATATATATATTTCTTTAGTTAAAGTCTATTTTTGCTATTTATTTTCTAGTTAAAGCATCCTTCTCATAATACTCAAACACTGTTGCATAAAGTGGTTAAGTTTTTAGCATCTAGAATAAGTAACTTTTTATGTGTTTTACATTTGGAGCTCCTAGTGGTTTCTTGTCAAATTTAAGTTTTCATAAGTTCACATACCTCTAGCAAATGCCATTTTTTAGAGATCAGTACCTACTATGTATAAAATAAATGTTTGAAGGTAATGGATTATAATGAATATCATGGTTATTTTTCAAACTACAGTGGTATTAATTAGATTATTTACTTTCCTTGTTGATCTCTGTCAACTTCTTAGATTTGAACTTCTTCTGTTTGTAGGCTGATGTTGCACCACTGATGGCTGCTCTTATTGGAGTTCCCTTCCCTCTTAATTCAGTGGTAAAGAATACAATTTTCTTATCAACTTTCAGAATTAAAAAAAAGTATTGTACAGTAAAATTAGCTTTTTATGTGTTTCTGAATTATCTTTGATTACATTTAAAACTTTTTTCCTTTATATTTCTTTCTAAAGATGTAACACCTCATAATTATGTATGAAATACAACATGGAGCACAAGCCTAATAGCTTTTCTTAAAAATTTTTTATTTTCTAAAATGTAAAAAGATTTATATCTTTGTATTTTAGTTACATGATGAAAATATATAAGTAATTTTTTATTGTAAGAGGCAGAAACTGAATCCATTTAAAGGAAATTTATTAAAAAGATATTGTTGGTTTGCTAAATCAAAGGGGTCCTCAAAGGCCAGACTGGGAAATGAACAGGAACCAAGAGTGCTCCAGAGAGTCAGGAGAAAGAAGCTCACCGTGGTCCAATGGCAGGGCCTGTCTGCAAGGTCACTGACACTAGGGGAGAGTAGCATTACACCTGTTGTACTCTCTGTTCCTTGACGCTCAAGTGTCAAATTCCAGTGCTTACCATTTGAGTGGTTATTTGTCTACCCTTCAGTGAGGGAAGGCTGGGGGGGCCTCATTAGAGACCTACTATGCTCTACCTGATATCTCAACATAGAATGGTAATGCTGTTAAAATTGGGAACTGGATGCTGAAAAGCTAAAAAACAAACAAAATCCATTCCCATCAGCGATTCTTTCTAGCCCTTCAAATCAAACTTAAAAAACATAATGTCATCTACCTCAGAACTCTGATATGACCCCTATAGTCATAAGTGTGTGTGTATGTCTGTCACTGAAACCAACGTTTCACAAAGCAATCCTTACCGTTACTATGCATAGTAGTATAGTCCTATTTTTCTTATTATTTCTTTTTTTTCTTTTTAAGTGAGCTGGCTGTGGCCCACCATAGTAATTTTTTGTGTGTGCAGAGCACCTTTAGTTCACTGCCTGCCACATAGTAATCTTCAAATAAATGTTAGGTTTTATTGAACTTATTTCATCTCTTTTGCTTTATTTACTTTATTATATCTACTTTGTAAGAAAAAATAATAGAACATTTTTTAGTTATGGTTTTTAAAAAGATTTTTTGTTTAATTATTCCAAGAATTTGTCCATATGTCATCTCTGTTGCTTCCTTTGTAAGTCTGTTTTGTTTTATAAGAATATTTTGAGCTTTGTTAGTACTAATATTAAATCAGTGTCTGTTATTTACAGGGAACCCTTCCTGTGGATATACTTAACAGCACTGATCTCTTCAAAGCAGAGAGCATGTTTACAAATGCAGTACAGATTCTTGAACAGTTCAAGGTAAAACAAGACCACACACAAAAATGGACGCTACTACAATTTTAAAATTGCATATATTAAGTGAAAATATTTGATTTTGCATTTTAAGAAATGATTTTCTGTAATTTATTATCTTTAAATTTTGTGTGTTTAACTAGTGTCCTAAAGTTTCACATATCTGAGGTGCAGGTTCCATGAATCAGTGTGAGGGTGTAGAATTACCTTTGAGGAGTGTCCCTAATTGTTAGAGTACCACATATGCTCATAAAGACTACAAACCAAGTCTTTATCAATGAAATTTGCCTTGTAGAAGTAGGATTAGAGATTGCAACATTTCTTGCCATTCCATGTACATTATTATATGCATTAAGAGCTTAGAGAGTTGACCATTTAACTGAAACTTTCTGTTTTTCTTTTTTGGTTTTGGCTGCGTTGCGTCTCCATTGCTGTGCACAGGCTTTCTCCAGTTGCAGCGAGCAGGGGCTTTAGTAGTTGCAGCACGTGGGCTCAGTAGTTGTGGCATGCTGGCCCTAGCACACGCGGGCTTCAGTAGTTGTGGTGCGTGGGCTCAGCAGTTGCGGCGCGTGGGCTGTAGGGTACACGGGCTTCAGTAGTTGTGGCTCGCGGGCTCCAGAGCGCAGGCTCAGTAGTTGTGGTGCACGAGCTTAGTTGCTCCGCAGCATGTGGGATCCTCCCGGACCAGGGATCTAACCCGCATCCCCTGTACTGGCAGGTAGACTCTCAACTACTGCGCCACCAGGGAAGTCCCTTTCTGTTATTCTCAATAGCAGAATATGTTAATGCAGCTTGGCTTATTTTTTTTCCCTAAGAATTAAAGAAGTATAGTTTAATTACATTACAATATGTTATTTTGCAGGCTTTATATACTTAATTCTCAGCTTATTGTAATGGTACAATAATATTAACATTTTCTTTAGATATTTATGAAATAATATAGCAACACAAAATTCCATTTATTTCTGTCCCTGAAGAACCATTTCAATGGATGTTTATATTTCAAAATGAAATTAATTTTTTTTCTCATTTATAATATAAAGTATTTTCATACTTGGTTCCCAGGTGAAAATGGCTCAGAAAAAAGAAGCTACTTTACCATTTTTGTTCACACCATTTCAGTAAGTCTCTTATATTTTTTAATTAACTTGTAGGAAATAATTTTTCACTGAGTTTGAAAGCTTGACAGGATAGATTAGGTACTTAGAAGCATTGTCTTTTTTGGGTATGTTAGTGCAGTCTTCTAAATGAAAGCCTCTTCTATTGTTTTATAAATAATGAACCAGATGCTATATACCTTTGAATGGCTGGTAGAGGAGATATAGGGGTGCAGAGAGATATAGGAAACATTAAGGAGATAAATTCAACAGGGCTTGACTGGGAAGGTGTGGGGCTCTTGGTTTGGTTGATTGGGAAGATGCTTGTGCCATTATGGTTTATAGAAAGAAAGAAGAGCTAGTATGAAAGGTAAGGATGAATTTACTGAGTTCAACTTACATTTGAAGATACCAGTTAATTAGTTAAAAATAAGGACTTGGATCTCAAGATAGAGATGAGAATTGGTTATGAAGATTTTGGAGCCAACAGCATAAAGATGGTGGTGGAAAGTGTTAAACATGTAGGAGGCTGTGGGGAGAATATAAAAAGAGACAAGAAAAGGCCAATGAGACTATTCTGGGAAACACTGACAACAACTATAAATGTGGCTCTGCACCACTGACTCAGGCGGGTTTTCTCAGCCTCCTTGGACTTCGTTTGCAGTTAGTAGGGACTCACATTTAATTAGGAAGGATTTTGTTCTTGACCAAAATAAATAAAAACTGTTTGAAATATGGTGGTAAGGATGTGATTGAATGACTTCATTGGAGTTATTTTTCATAACTTATATAGCACTAGTGTAGTATTCATAAACTAGAAACTATTGCTCTCTGAATCATGTAATCACATCATTCTCTATGGCAGCCTGCCTTTGTGTGTGTGTGTGTGTGTGTGTGTGTGTATAGGAGAGCAAAAACAAAGCAAAATTAAGATTTTGCAAGTTATGACATTAACAAGTTATGTTAATTAATTATGACATTAACAAGTTAGTTATGACATTTGCAAGTTATGAAATTAATTATATTACATATGTCAAAGGTAGAATTATTTTTGAGGAGTGTCCCTAATTGTAGGATTATCACATATACTTATAAAGACTATAAGCCAAGTCTTTATCAATTAGAATTTGCCCTATATTATATCATTTAGATATCATATGCATCTGTTTATTTGTAATGTAGTGGTATAGTCAGACAGTAACAAAATAAACTAATAAATGAACAAGAAATATATTATCAATTTTTGATATGAAGAAAATACACAGGACATTGAAAGTAACTGAGAGTTACTTTAGATCAGCTACTTGAGAAAGGCTGCTCAGGGAAATGCTCTTCTGGAAGGGGTTCAAGTGCACATTGCCCACCTTCCTCCACTTGGCCTGGGAGCTGACCATGAACTTCCCCTGCTTTCATGCTCAACACCTGCCTGCGGAGCCACTGCTAGCTTTGTGTCACCAGGGGGCCCAACAGAATGGTTGATTCTCACCCACTGGCTCACCCACCCTGTCTGCAAACTTGTCTGGCTGAAAATCATCATTCGTTGAAAGCCTGCAGTATGACCAGAAAAGCCTTGGATAAAACAAAAGAATTGACTCGTGAGGAAATAGCTAACTGAAGGAATAGAAAAGAGCCTAAAAATATTAAAATCCTCAGAAATATCTGAGAAACTGTTGTATCCATAAATAAAAAAGCAGCACAAACTTTACAAAATGAGAAAAAGTATAGGATGCATTTTTCTTAAAATGCAAAATGCAACTAAAAACCTATGGAATGATAAATTGTACAAGAATGGTCCAAATGGGAGGCAAATCCTCCAAATTAGAACAGCAAGTAGACCTCAAAAGAAGTGAAATGAATTTTAAGTAATATATGCACTGAATGAGAAGCTGGAGGAAACACTGGAAGGTGTCATTTCTTCACCCCCCATACACTGGAAACTTGAGGGGAACGGAAACATTTTAAATTGTACAATAAAAACAGGCTTCAAATCTGAAGCAACCTAAGATGTGACATGATTTTGAGCAATTGTTGGGACTGTAAGAAATATTTGAATATTGGCATGTGGATCAAGGCTTCAAAGAAACAGATGAGAAAATTTAATTATAGTATAAAACTTTACTACTAAGTGAACAGCATTTAAGTAATCATAAAAAATGTAAATATTGATTTTCAGCTTTTAGAGTCAAACCTTAGACAAAGCAAGGAAGACTTAATGATTACAGAATAGAATGCAAATGTTACCAACTTCAGCAATGTACAAGGCTACAGGTTGGAAGGCAGAAATATAAATGGAATAATAGTGGTGCTATTGTCCTCATAAAATAGAATGTGGAGATGATTCCAGCTATAGTTGAGAGAATAAGATAGAGGTTTGGGTATTAGATTATTAAAGTGACCAACATAGCCACCAGGAGGTAAAAATAGTAATATAACCATATTGAGATGGGAGGAGACAGCAGGAACAGAGTCAGCGGGGAGTCAACAGCAAGGGTCTCAGGTTATCAAGTCAAGAAATAGTAATAGGGGCTTCCCTAGTGGTGCAATGGTTAGGAATCCGCCCGCCAATGCAGGGGACACGGGTTCGAGCCCTGACCCAGGAAGATCCCACATGCCGCAGAGCAGCTAAGCCCGCGAGCCACAACTACTGAAGCCCTCGTGCCTAGAGCCCGTGCTCTGCAACAAGAGAAGCCACTGCAATGACAAGCCCAGGCACTGCAACGAAGAGTTGCTCCCACTCACCACAACTAGAGAAAGCCCGTGCACAGCAACGCAGACCCAATACAGCCAAAAATAAAAACAAATAAGTAAATAAATTTTTTTAGAAAGATATAGTAATAAAAGCATACTATTAAGAAAAATGAAGGTAACTACCAGAATAACTAAAATCAGGCACAGGTAAAAGTTTTTATTTCTGGGTTGGGGAACTGAGAGCTGAGAAGGGTGGGGCAGGGACACATTGGTTGTCATTTTGCCCCTCTGTACTGTTTTTGATTTTAAAAAATTATATGTATATATTGCTTTGATAAAACATAATTTAAAAAGAAACAAAAAATAGGTAGTTCCCTGGTGGTCCAGTGGTTAGGACTTGGCACTTCACTGACGTGGGCCTGGGCTCAATCTAAGATCCTGTAAGCCACACAGTGCGGCAAAAAAACCCCAAAAAACAAAACAAACGGTATTCTAATCATTGGCATGAATCAAAATCATAAAAGTTATGGGCACAGATAAAAAAGAAATGTATTCTTCCATATAAATTTTAGAATCATCAACTTGAATTATATGAAAAATTCTTTGGTTATTACACTATATTTAGGAAGCAATTTGGAGAGAATTGATGTTTTTACACTATTGAACTTTATTTATTTATTTATATCTTCTGTTATGTCCCTAAGTAAAATTTTATCTTTTCCCATCCAATATACATTTCTCATTATTTTATTCCTGGATATTTTATTTCTATTATGAGTAGTATCCTGTTTTCCCTGTTACATATGTTCAGTATGCCAGGAAAAACAGTTATCATCATTTATCATCTGAGTACAATGGGCTTTTTATTTTTCTCTAATCCAATGAGTTTTTTTCATTTCTACACCATCTCTTTCCTTCCAGTCACCTTTATATATACACCTAATGTTAGCATTGTTCACTTAGAAACTATATCAAGTAATTATTGGAACATAAACATCATAAAAGATGAAAGAATGCTGTGGTCACACATCCTTTTTGTAAAACAGCTCAGGTTCTTGTTACAAATAATTGTTCAATGAAGTCCTTCCTTCTTGAATAAGTACCATATTTCCTTTTTCTTGTTAGAAATATATTGTTCACTCATCAGTTCTTAAATGTAAGAAAACTTATCTAGGATATTGACAGCTGAAAATTCAGTCTTGAGATTTTACTTATGTGATTAATTTCACCAGCATCACTAGATTTAGGTTTAATAATATCTCTCTACCATTCTTCCATTGTCTTATTTAGTCTTTCCTAGCATGAATAATTGGTGAATAATGTAATAGTTCCTAGGGTGATGAAATAGCAAATGTGTCAAGATAGAGGAAGAACAAGATTGCTAAGATCCTGTAACATATCTTAGACTTGTAAAAGGGTCCAATGGATCCATATGGTAATTGCATATCCTATTTTATCCTATTATTTAAAAAATAAGTAAATTTTACCTTTGATATTTTAAAGACCTCTAAGAAAGAATAAAAATCATGAAATATTCATTATGACAAATAGAACTGCTCAAAAAACCCTCAAAACTAAAATTGGGTCTAATGGACCCTGAGTCTATGCCAAGGAATGACCAGCAGGTGGAGCTACATGACTAGAAAAAGTATAGTTTGGCTACATTGAAAGTACCTTAAAAAGGAGGAAAAAACACTTTCTATTTGAAAAGTGTGTATAGAGGCTAAAGTAAGATAAGAAAAACATTAAAAGAAAAAAATTCCATGAAATGAGAAAAGAACAAGAGAAGACTCTTAAGAAATATTTTAGAAAAAAATGAAAATGGGAAGGAGATATTGTACCTTGCCAATAGAAGCCAAAACATGTGTTATATTTTATTTAAAAATCACTATTTAAATTCAGGGAACTGAAATAAATTTTAACAGAATATTTTAATATGAATATTTTCTACTAAAATGACAAAAGATACTTTGATTCTTTTTAATATATTTATTTCTTTTAGTCTGATATGGATTAAAATTCCTCCCTTGGACCAAATTTTAAATATTTGTTTTAATGTGAATCTTTCTACCACTTCATCCATCTGATTTACTAATTATTTACTAAAAGTGTAATTTTCTGCCTCAAACCCGAAATTCTTCTTTTAAAAATGTAACTTTGGGGACTTCCCTGGTAGCACAGTAGTTAAGAATCCTCCTGCCAATGCAGGGGACACAGGTTCGAGCCCTGGTTCTGGAAGATCCTATATGCCACGTAGCAACTAAGCCCGTGAGCCACAACTACTGAGCCTGCACTCCAGAGCCCGCGAGCCACAACTATGGAAGCCCACGCACCTA